GTCTGTATTCCTCTTCCTCACAGCCCAGGCCCTGTGCCTCCTTCTCACCCATCTCCATGGACACAGGCATACACACACCTCTCGTGGCATGACACGTATGCGAGCTGTGTGGTCTCCGTTCCTCCCTGTGCTCCCCACGTGGGCCTGTGTTTCTGAACACAGGGCTACACAGAGATGTTCAGAGTGTTGGGGCTCTCTGCCCACCTGCCCTCATCATGCAGTCAGAGCTGTGTTCATATTGCAGACTTTTGGGACACAGCAGGCCAAGAGCGGTTCCAGAGCATGCACGCTTCCTACTACCACAAGGCCCACGCCTGCATCATGGTATGAAACCACCTGGGAGGCAGAGGCTCTGGGCAAGTCTGGCCTGAGGGGCAAAGGGACAGAGGGCCAAGCAGGACTGAGCCCTTCTCACTGGGGTGGGTGCTGAAGGGAAGGGTTGGGGTAGGCTTTGGGCTGCATGAACTCCCCAGAGGTTCCAAGTGAGAACATGCCAGGGTGAGCTGCTCTTCTGGGGGAGGTGGGGAGGTGGGGAGTTGTATGGAGCCACCATTCCAGTGGGGAGGAGCAAGTTCAGGGCTTCAACATTGGGGATAACATCTCAGAACCTAGTGGAGCCTGCCTGCTCAGATAAGCTCCTGAGGCCTCCCTTGGCCACTGTTCTCTAGGGCAGATGCTGGGGCTGAATGGCCCTGTGGTTCCCAGGGAACAGCTGCTGCCGGGGCCCACTGACATGCAGGGCAAACCCCTGGCTCTGGGCGTGGCTGCTCCCAGGAAAGACTGGGTTGTTCAGAAGTAAGATCTGCCACTCCAGCAGGTTACAAGGTTGTCTGTCTCAGTCCACTGTTGTACTGGGGCAGTTTGGGCCTGTGAGTCTATTCTGGAGGATGGCTTGGAAGCAGGAAGCTGGCCTGTGAGGGGCTCCTGTGAGGGGCTTGAGGATCCCTGGAGCAGCTTGAAGCATCTTAGTTAGGCTTTCTGGCTTCCCTGCCCTTAGAGCTAGTTGTAGGGCTCCTGCTTCTTACTGATATTTTTAAATAGGCAAAAACTATAAATTATAAAAAGTTAATAAAACTGTGGTAAGCTACAAAATAGTAAAATACAAAAGTTACTTTTAAAAAAGTTTAAAATATGAAATTAAAGATTAAAACTAAAAGTAAACCAAAATAAGAGGAAATTCTAGAAACATTTAAAATTATTATGAAGGAGTTTTTAAACAAAGTTTAAGCAATAATAAGATTAGACTAAGAGAAAAACAAAAAGCTTACAATTTGTAACAGATTTACTGGTGAATAAAATGATACAATTTGGTTAAAATAGGTAAGTAAGATTAGGTGATAATGTAAACATCCTAGAGCAGTTCCCTGAGAAGGGTGGGCAAGGCACAGCCTTTGTGGTCAGAGGGGCTGCAGCCCAGAGCAGGTGCGCGTTCCGAGTTCCCAAGCCTGTGGCACACACCCACGCTCACAGCTTGTGTGTCTATCACCTGGGGGTGGTATGCAGAGACCTCGATGCACCTGAGCTATCTTCTTCCTCTGCTCATTGCAGGTGTTTGATGTGCAGAGGAAAATCACCTACAAGAACCTGAGCACCTGGTATACAGAGCTTCGAGAGTTCAGGCCAGAGATCCCGTGCATTGTGGTGGCAAATAAAATCGATGGTGAGGCCATCCCTGCATCTGGGTGCCAGCAGTTCATGAGGGGACCCACCATCACATGTTTCCTCTTCATTTCCTGGGGCAATGAACCTTCAGTGATCCATTCTCCTTCCCAAGATAAAGCCCTTGGTTGCTTGCCATCACTCCCTTCCCAGGAAAGATCCAACTGAGCTAACCTGCCCTTTGATCAAGACACAGATCCCTGCTGAATGACCTCTTTCTAAGATATGTCCCTTGATTGTCCCTGCTCATCCCACTTCCTAGATAGGGACCTCCAGTGACCCACCCTGCAAAATTCTCTCCCTTTCCCTTGGTAGACAGGCCAATGTGCTCCCTTCTCTCTGCAGCAGACATAAAGGTGACCCAAAAAAGCTTCAATTTTGCCAAGAAGTTCTCCCTGCCCCTGTACTTCGTCTCAGCTGCTGATGGTACCAACGTTGTAAAGGTAATGGTAGACTGCAAGGACAGGCTGGTAAGGCTGGGGAAGTGCTGGTACTGAAGTTTCAGGGAAGGAATAAAAAGGTCTGGCCACAGGGATGGTGACAGGCCGGGCATGTTGCGCGGGTCACGGTGACCATGTGGCAGCAGGAAGGGGCATTGTGAGCATTGCCAGTAGAGGAGGTGGTGGGTTGGGCTTGGTGAAGAAATTGTGCATTGACCGTGCATGCGGTAGGGATGATGGGGGAAGGTGAGTTGAGGGGTGACCTTGCTGATTTTAGGGTGGACTATCCTGTGGACTTAATGACGGGGATAGGGGCAGTGGATACAGGGCAGGCAGAGTCCAGGCACTGGCATCCACACCCCTATTTTCCTTCCCACCACCTCCACCTTACCTCCAGCTCTTCAATGATGCAATTCGACTAGCTGTGTCTTACAAACAGAACTCCCGGGACTTCATGGACGAGGTCTTGCAGGAACTTGAGGTAGGTCAGGCCCAAATAGAGAAAACGGCTCCTCTTCAGAGGGGTGCAGAACATAACCCAACAGAGTGGCTTTGCAGACAACACATGCTCATGTGGGTGCTGCCCCTAGAGGTGTCAGAGCTGCAGATGGGCAGATGCAAGGGCAGGCCTCACCTGCAGCCTTGTTCACAGAACTTTGACTTGGAGCAGAAGGAGGAAGATGTGCCGGACCAAGAGCAGCATGGCAGCAATGAGAGTCCGTCTCCCTCCTGAGTCACAGGAGGAGGGCTCTCTCCATGGCCAGGGGGTGTTCGTTCAGAATACCCCTCCCTTCAGCAGTCTTTCAGCTCTCAACTGAGAAACTCCTCCAGGCCATCCCCTGTTACACCCCCTAAAACCACCCATCCCATTTGCCTCCCCAGCTTCCATGACCCCTGGTACCTGACCCTTCCACAGTTGAACCCCACCATTGCCAAGCACAGAGATGGGGTCAGCTCGGGTAAGAGACCCACAGCACAGCATGAGGCAGAATTAGGACGGACCAGTATCATAACCTCCCCCCAGGTTCTGTGGGACAGTGCGGAGAGTCAGGAACGTTCTGTGCGTGTATCTTAAATGAAGGGGCACTGTCGGTAGTGCTTTCCCTCCCAGAACTGACCGTGGCCCTGTTCATTGCATTTCCCCAAGGGAACGGTTTCTGATTCCTGACTACTGTTTTCCTCTTTAATCTTCCAAATAAACCAACCAGTGTAAGGAAATAGTTTTGTCCAGAAACCTGTTCATTCCACACGTTTTTCAGCAGCTCTTCTAGGTATGGCTGGGACATTGGTGAACAGCAAGGCCAAGATCACAGGCCCAAGTTTGCTGTGAAAATCAGGTGACAGCAGGTGACAGGTCTGGCCACACTTAGTGACACACCAGTGTCACTATTGTAAACCTCAAGGGTCAATGCAGCCGCACCTCAGGCCATACCCATTTGCATCGTAAGAGATTGACTTTAAGAAAGCTTCCTTTAATACCCCAATTTCAGCATATGAGGCTTTTTTTTTTTTTTTTTTTTGAGGACTAGTGTGACACTGTACTCCTTGGGTGGCAAAGGCTGCCAGGAACTGCCTGCTGCCTTTTCCGTTTTCTACAGGACTTGTGGTTCACTAGGGTGTTTTTATGATCATCTTGTGTATCATTTTCCTTACCTTTATTTATTTTTTATTTTTACTTTCTATTTACAGTAAAGGTTGAATTACATAAACATTGAGTAGTGTACATGCTCTGTGGGTGTGGATTTTTTAGCACAAAGTCACAAGAGGACTTTGCAGATCATCAGCCACATTCATGAAGGGAGACTGCCTTGATCTGTCACGCGAGGGTGACCAGATTGACTCTCGACTGACTGTGACAGAGACCATTTCAGTGGAATTTAGTGTTTTTAAAAGAATGGGTATTTGTTTAGGAGTCAAGAAGACATATTTTTACCCTTGAAATTACTGATGCTTACAATTTTAACTTCAGAGGTTTAACCTGACCAGGAAATTTCAGGAATGTGTTGCCCTGATTAGGTGGGCTTTTAAATACAACAACCACAACAGCTACAAAAACCTTCAGTTATTATAAATGCCTAATAAGCATTTTTTAAATATAATGACTTTATTGAGATACAATTCAAATACCATAAAATTCACGATCAGTATTGCTTTTATGTAATCATTTTGCATCAGGTTCCCTAGAAGCAGACCCTGAGAAGGCAGTTCTTACTCACATGACTTACTGGGGCAGTTCTGTCACTGCTGGGGGCCAGCGTCACTCTCTCTTCCCACTTCCTGGGGAAGCTCGGGAAGACAGACTGCCCCACAGAATTGGTCCCACTTTGAGACCAAGGAGGCTTTCGTGCCAGTTAGCCAAGTGTGAGGAGGAGGAGGTGGAAGGGATGGGCAAAGTGGCTCCCGTTTTCGCAAGGGCAGTTCTCTGAGGAAAGGGCACCTATGAGTTTTATCCATCGACACTTAAAGCAGCTAGGGGGTGAGTTCTCAGGCAGGGTGCCAGCCCAACAGCCACGGCCTCCACCTTGTCATGCTCAGATCCACCTGCTTCTTAAAGTTCATTTCATCCTGACATACAGGAACACCACCCAAATCTTGTTTAATAATGTATTGAGGTGAAACTTACATAACATAAAATTAACCGTTTTACAGTTCACAATGCAGTGCCATTTAGTACAGTTACGCGGTTGTGCAGCAGTCACCTCTGAAACATGTCCGTCACTCTTAAGTAAAACCCCTCATGAAGCAGTTTCTCTCCAACACCTGCTCCCCTTGCCCCTTGTAAACAATAATCTATAATCCGTCTCTATGGATTTATCTATTCTGGACGCTTCATATCAATGGAATAAAACAATATGCGACCTTTTGTGTCTGCCTTTCATTTAGCACATTTTCAAGATTCATCCCTATGTCATGCACTTCATTCTTTCTGTGCTGAGTAGCGTTCCATTGTGTGTGTACACTGTGTTTGTTTATCCCTGCATCCATGGATGAATATTTGTCTCCACCTTTTAGCTGCTGGGAATAGTGGTGCTGTGACGTGCTTGTAGATGTGCTTTTATGAGCACCTGTTTTCAGCTCTCTGGGGTGTCTTGTTCTGCTCAGCCTGCTGTAACGAAATAGCACTGACTGGGTAGCTTACAACAGATACTGATTTCTCACAGTCTTGGAGGCTGGGAAATCTCAGATCAAGGTGCTGGCAAGGTAGGTTTCATTCTGAAGCCTCTTCTCTTTGCCTGTAGGCAGCTGCCCTTCCTGTGCTCATATAACCGCTTCTTTGTATTTATTGGAGCAGAGAGACCAAGATTGCTTTCTCTTTGTCTTAAAAGATCACACGTCTTATGACCCCCATCTTGACATCATAATTAGAGCCTGACCCTGATGACCTCTTCTAACCTATTTAATTACTTCCTAAAACCCTGTCTCCAAATGCAATCACATGAGGGTTAGGGCTTCAACAGGAGTTTGGGGGCAACATAGGTAAGTCTATAGCACAGTGTGTCTCTAGGAGTGGGATTACAAGATCATTTTATGTTTAAACTTTTGAGGAATTGCCAATCGGTTTTCCAAAGTGGAACCACCATTCTACAGTCCTGCAAGTAATGTACAAATGTTCTAATTTCCCCACATCCTTGCTTTAACTTGTTATTTTCTATTTTTAGAGACAAATTTAGCCACCCTAGTGGTTATAAAGTGCTACCTCACTGTGGTTTTGAGATACATTTCCCTGATGATTAATGCTGAGCACCTCTTCACTTGTATATTTATTTGGAGAAATAACTATGCAAGTACTTTGCATATTTTTTAATTGAGTTATCTTTTTGTTGTTGAGTTATGAGTTATATATTCTGGATATTAAATCCTCATTTATGATTTACAAATATTTTTCCCATTCTAGGTTGTATTTACACTTACTTGATGTCTTTAATGCAAATTTTGATAAAATCCAGTTTATCTTTTTTTCTTTTGTTACTTGTGCTCTTGTGTCATATCTAGGAATCCATTGCCAAATCCAAGATCATGAAGATTTATCCTTACGACTTTTCTAAGACTTTTGTGGTTTTAGCTCTTATATGTAAGTCACTGGTCCATTTTGAGTTAATTTTTGTATATGGTGTAAGGTTGGGGTCCAGCTTCATACACCTGCATATAGATACCCAGTCGTCCCAGCACTACTTGTCAAAGAGACTATTCTTTTTTTTTTTTTGGACAGAGGTACTGTGGATTGAACCTAGGACTTCATGGATGCGAAGCATGTGCTCTACCACTGAGCTGTACCCTTCCCCACCCCCCACCACCCCAAAGAGACTATTTTCTCTTTGAATAGTCTTGCTGCTCTTGTCAAAAATCAGTTGATCATGAGTGGAGGGTATATAGCTCAGTGGCAGAACATGTGCTTAGGATGCATGAGGTCCTGGGTTCAATCCCCAGTATCTCCATTAAAATAAATAAATAACCTAATCCCCCCCCTCAAAAAAATTTTTTTTTAAATTTATAATCAGTTGGTCAAAAATTCTATGAGTTTATTTCTGGACACTTAGTTCTACTCCTTTGGTCTAGATGGCCATCCTTATGCCAGTACCACACTGTTTTAATTATTGTAGCTTGGTAATACAGTTTTAAACTTGGTTTGTGTGAGTCCTTCAACTTTGTTCTTTTTAAAGACTGTTTTGACATCTTAATATTGTTTTCCGTACATGAACACTGGATGTCTTTTCATTCATTTATATCTTTATCTTCTTTTTCTATCTTATGTTTGTAATTTTCATGTACAAATCTTTCACTTCTTGGTTAAGTTTATTTCTAAATATTTTTGGACACTATTCACTTTTTTATTTGTCCATTGCTGATTATAGAAACTGCTGATTTTTGCCTGTTGGTCTTGTACTCTGAAACTTTCCTGAATTCATTTATTAACTCCCTAGCAGTTTTTCTGTGGATACTTTGGGGTTTTCTGTAAATAGAATCATGTCACATGCATATTGAAAAAGTTTTACTTCTTCCTTTCCAATTTGGATGCCTTTTATTTCCTTCTCTTGACTAGAAATCCTGGTACTATGTTGAACTAAGTAGTAAAAGCAGGCATCGTTGTCTTTTTCCTGATCTTAGTGAGAAAGTTTTCACTTTTTCACCATTGATTATGACGTTAACTATGGATATTTTGTATGGCCTTTACCATGCTGTAGAAGTTCCCTTCTATCCCTAACTTTCTGAGTGCTTTCATTATGAAAGCCTGCTGGATTTTACCAAATGCTTTTGCTGCATTAATTGAGATGACTGTGTGGTTTTTCCTCTTCATTCTATCAGTGTAGTGAGTTGCACTGATGGATTTTCATATTGATCCACCCTTGCATTCTTGTGATAAATCCCAGTTGTTTATGGTGTATAATCTTTTTTAATATGCTGTGATTTTGTTAAGGGTTTTTGTATCTATAGCCATAAGGGGTATTGTGTGTATTTGTGGTAATTTTCTTTATTTGTGATGTAGCTTTGGTATCAAGGTAATGCTGCCCTCAGAATGACTTAAGAAGTATTCTCTCCTCTTCCATTTTTCAGAATAGTTTGGGAAGGAGTGTTAATTCTTATTTAAATGTTTGGTAGAATTTACCAGTGAAATCATCTGGCACCACACTTTTCTTTCTTTTTTTGGTGGGGGGAGGTAATTAGGTTTATTATTTTATTTGTAGAGGAGGTACTGGGGATTGAACCCAGGACCTCAGGCATGCTAAGCATGCGCTCTACACCTTGAGCTATACCCTCCCCCTACACTTTTCTTTCTTAGAGGACTTTTTTTTTTTTAACTGATTTGATCTCTTTGCTTTTTATAGATCTGTTCAAACTTTCAGTTTCTTCTATTTCTTCTTGAATCCATTTTGGTAATTTGTGCTTTTCTAGGGATTTGTCCATTTTATCTAGGTTATATAATCTAAGGGGGCATGTGTTTGTTTATAGTGTTTTCTTATTTGTATATAATCAGTAGTAACGTCCCAACTCTCATTTTTTATTTTGCTATTTGCATCTTCTCCCTTTTTCCTTTCCCATTATAGCTAAAGTTTGTCAATTTTGTTGACCTATTCAAAGAACCAATCTTTGGTTTTATTAATTCTCTCTATTGTGCTTCTATTCTCTATTTCATTTATCTCTCATTTTCAGTACTTTCCCTTTTTCTGCTAGCTTTGGTTTACTTTGCTCTTTTTATAATTTCTTAAAGTGTTAAGTTAGATTACTGGTTTGAGATCTTTTTTTCTTTTTTAATATAGACATCTATTGCTATAAATTTCCCTCCAAGAACTGCCTTTGGTGCATCCTGTAAGTTTTGATATGTTGGGTTCTCATTTTTATTCATCTCTTAGTATTTTCTATTTCCCTTGTGATTTATTCTTTGATTAATTTATTTAACAGCATTTGTTTAATTTCCACATGTTGGCAAATTTTCCAGTTTTCTTTTTGTTATTGATTTCTGGCTTTACCCATTGTGGTCAGAGAAGATTATGTTGTGTGATTTCAGTGTTTTTAAATTTATTGAGAATTGTTTGTAGTTTAACATATGGTCTGTCCTAGACAGTGTTCTCTGTGTGTCTGAGAGGAATGTGTATTCTGCTGTTGTTGGGTAGAGTGTTGTGTGTATGTCTGTTACATCTAGTTGACTAACTATATTGTTGAAGTCCTGTATGTCCTTATTGATCTTCTGTCTAGATGTGATCGCCATTATTGAAAGTGCAATATTGACATCTCCAAATAATACTGTTGCACTGCTTCTCCCTTCAATTGGGTTAATGTTTGCTTCAAATATCTTGGGGTTTCATTGTCTGGTGTGTATATATATGTATATATACACATATATACATGTTTTGGGAGCATATATGTTTATAACTACGTTTATATTTATTGTTTATGGTTATGACTTTATCCTGATGAATTGACTCTTTTTTCCAGTGTCTAATGTCCTTGTCTCTAATGACAGTTTTGATTTACAGTCTATTTTGTCTGATATTAGTATAGTCACTGCCTCTCTGTTGGTTACTATTTATATGGAATATCTTTTTCCATCCTTTCACTTTAAACCTATTTGTGTCATGAATCTAAATTGAATCTCTTGTAGGTAGCATATAGTTGGATCATGTCTTTTAATCCATTCAGCCAATCTCTGCCTTTTAATTCGTGAGATTAATCCATTTACATATATAAAGTAATTACTAATAAGGAAAGCCTTACTTCAGCCATTTAGTATTTGTTTTCTGTATGTCAGTTTTTTTCACTAAGCCAAGATTTATTTCAAACACTAAAAATATTTAGGCTAAATCAAAATGGTCCTACTATAACTAACTTCTTATAATAGTTTAACACTTAACATTTTTAAAAATATAAACATAATTACCAAACCCCTAACAGCAAGCTATAAGATTTACAAAAGCATTGGCTATTTCAGAAAGTAAGGTGGCAATAAAATATCAAAGAACTTTCTTATACTTACTGAGAACATAATCAGCAGCAAGCTATTCAAACAAAACAAAACACAAATTTGTTTTTACACTTTGCATGTGTATTTTAAACTTTGCTTCATAAAGTCACTGATAATTGAGGCATCTTTCTTTCAAGTATAGGGATTTCTAAATATTTTTATAAAGAAGTGAAAACCAGAAACTGGTTTGTTTGCTACAAATTCATACAGCAAAAAGCAAAACACAGTCCAAATGAGTTTATGTTCCCCTGCTTCTCCAACGTCAGCTTTAGATTTTTTCCTATATACTTCGTAAATACTTTTTTATAATCATCCCATTATGTAAATTAGGGAAAGTGGTTTATAATGTTGTCATCTTTAAAATTATCTTTTATATACTTCTCTCCCCCAAGACCCCCACCAAA